TCAGAAACATCCGACAATGGACAGGGCTAAATTTTGAACAGCTAATAAGAACAGCTGAAGATAGAGAAGAGTTTAAAATTGTAGTAGCCAACCTCCATTGAGGAGAGGGCACTTTAAGAAGAAGAAGAAGTTTATGTCTGAAACCAGAATGTATAGTTGGCCGCCCCAACATAAAATCCTCAAAAATTCGAAGACTGACCGTTGTCTGCTATAAGTGCCTTGTGTGGAACACCCCGTTCCACTTATATCAAAGGTATAATGTACTGGTCCAATTTACTATTTCTCCTGAGTGCTAAAAAGTTTAATTTAACCTATTGTCGCCTTATACAAAGATTTCATAGGTTTTTGTTGGAACACCTATTTAAAACATCCGTTTAACAAAATATCTTAAAAGTACAGATAAAAATTGCCACTTGTAGTTGCTATTTAATTACAACTGTAATCAATTTCAAAAATATAAACAGTTAAATTATATAGACAATTTTTCGTTATATTATTTGGAAATAAAGCACAATTTCGTTATATTATATGAATATCAATGAAAAACTACGCCAATAAAATAAATTGAGATAATTAAGAGACAATTTTGCTACATAAATGTCCAACTTTGGTACTGTGTTCTTCTATTTTTAACTAACTAAATGTTTCCATGATTTTGGAGGTTCGTTTTGCATAATGTTGGAATAGGGCATAAATCAATTTTTTTTTTTCGACAGTCATTTGTTCTTATAACCGGTCATATTGCATTTAATAATAATAGTCTCCCGTTTTATACCGCACGCGGCTTTGGGAGTATAGCAGGGTAGTCTGCTATATCTAGGGCCTACGGTATACAAGGAAGGTAACATGGCCAGTGCTACGCTTCAACCGCCTATTATTACCCCTGGTTTTACCCAAGGTACTCATTTTATTCAGGCTGAGTCGACCTGGGGCCTATAGACATTTTTAAAAATGCCTAGTTGTTCTTGCCGGCGGTAGGATTCGAACTCACGACCACCGGCATGCGAGGCAAGCACACTACCGCTTGCGCTACGCAGGCCCCATATTGCATTTAATTGGCATAATCTGCATCTTAAATTTATGTAGCTTTGTCGCTCAGGTTTTAGTGTTAATGTCTACTTATCCAGTAGCCTAAACCGATGGATTTAAGTGCCCTTTGAATCACGCTGGTGCTTCAAGTCAAGTCAAGTCAAATTTATTGATTACATGCGACAATATACAAAGTACATGTATAAGACAAGTCAAAGTTACAGACATACATCTTAAAAGTATATAAATTAATAAACACGATGAAACATATACTAAAAGTTATTTTTAGAATATGGCTCTAGCTCACAAATGTATTGATGTACCCACCTCCGAAAGTTTGGCTGATATAAATGGATTCGTATATCTATTGGTAATTTGTTAAAGAAACTTATGGCTGCATAATGTGTGCTACCTTCCAACAAAACAGAACGATGTTGTGGAAGCATAAAGTGATTGTCTCTGAATCTTGTTGAATAAACATGGTTAAATTGAAATTTATTAAATTCATAAATTTTGCTATGCAAATACATTATACACGAAAATATATACAGACCAGGAATTGTAAGAATATTGTTTTGTCCAAAGATGCCTCTACAAGAATCTTTAAATTTCATTTTATACATTATCCTAATAGCTCTTTTCTGAAGTACGAATATCTGCTCTAATTCAGAGGTACAACCCCAGACTTCAATGCCATATTTCGCTATTGAGTAAAAATGGGCAAAGTATACTATTTTTAATATTGATGTATGAAAGAGACGTGAAAGAATTCTCAATGCATAACATACGCTACTTAACCTGGATTTCAAATTAGAAATGTGGTTTGACCATTTACAATTAATGTCTAGAAATACCCCCAGCAACTTCGTACAGTCTGTTTTATCTATTGCTGCTTCTATAGTGGCTTGATGGTTTAATAACTTATTTGACGTGAAAATTATATACTTTGATTTCTCTTCATTCAAAACTATTTTCGAAGGTTGTATTTCTACAAATTTGTATAGAAGGTGTCTGTCGAATAATTGAGTATCATGATCCATCTTGTTAAAACAATCAGAATGTTTTTCAATCTTAATGGTTTGAGGGTTTGAGCAAACAAATGTTATAATCTCTAACTAGGCAAAGATTTTCACTGGTAGTTAGTTCTGCCCTTGGCTTCCTAATTGGATTATAAATTTATTATATTTCTTCTCTCAGAATAAAGTCGAAACCTTCCACGGCCAAAGTCAGTATTAACTAATCGATCTGATTCTTGTCTTCTTTCATCTGTCGTGATTTTTCCATATATTCGCTTCTCAAATAATAGAAAAAGAAAAATCTTTCGTAGAGAACACATCAAAATCTCAGAAATTTGGCACTCAAAGATCCACCGCTACATCTTCTTTCTTGTGTATATTCCATCCACTGTTCCTGAGTCAAGTATATATTGTACATTCAAGTATACATTCAATGTGTATTAGGTATGGTTTTTTGCCTATTTTGCAAAGTGGATTACAGTGCATTCTATATTGATTCAAAAACTCATATTCTTTCTAAAAATTCATTTCTATTACAGAAACATTACTATTTCTGTTACTTCTTATACCCAGCAGGAACCCAGCTTTGCACTCTGGCCCCACCAGAACTCACAAAAAGACCGCTCTCCAGCGTCCGAATGGATACGACAATGGTCGACGACTCGAAGGGTTTTTGCATGGTGGTTTCGACAGATTTACGTTTCACAGGCATAGCCTGACAGCCTTCAATTGCTTCTTCTTAAAAAACTACTAGGAGAGCGAAACATTAAAAGGGATATACATCGAGTCATAAAAAAAAGACAGTTATTTCCGCATTTAATTAAACGTCTTTTAGATCCACATTGCTCAGCTTATACCTGCCTCTTCTACTCTGGTTTATAAGGCTAGTAATCTTCGAATTTTTTACCTATCCCCTTTTTCTTCTCCCTTACTTCCTTAGAATGTTTGATTTGTTTCTAGTTTCTTTCTTCAGCATTTATAAAACTGTGTATACATTGCTGTTGACTCACTGTACAACTATTGGGGAGGTAAGTCACCAGTTAGTGACTCTAAGCAAAATTGAGCAAAACTAACCTTAAAATTTGTTTTAACACCGTTTACCGTTGTTTCAAAAAACAACGGTAAACATATTCAAATTGATGATTTGAGAAATTATATCAAAACATCTGTTGTTTTTCAAAATTTATAAAACAGTGAAATATATGGATAGTTGTTTTTTCCAAAAAATATAACTAAAAATTTTTACTTTTGTTCATGATTTGTATAAAAAATTAAAAATATTAAAGAACAATTAAAGTAATTTGATAATTTATGTTTTTTTTTCAGTCCTAACAATTCTGATTTCAATCTCAATGTAAAACAATCTAAAATTTGATTAAATAAATTATGTAAAATATAAAAATTAATTTAAATATTAAATATAAAGAACAAATAACAAAAACACATTAAATACATACATTACACTGAACAGTTTAAAAAGGAAAATGCAGTAATTGGTAAAAAGATCTAAAATTTGAAACATATATTAAAAGGAACTATTAACTTGACACGAAATATATAGACAACAACAGAGTCTAGGGACAATTTACAAAAATGTTATTAAGTCTGTTTTACTTTCTTGGGCGTTTGGTTAAATTAAACATAAAAATAACGTAAACAAAGACATTTTGATTATAATAAACTTTTATTTGAGTTATTGTTGCATATAAATCACTAGTGAATATTGCACAAAACAATATCCAAACCTAAAAATTTTCTAGAGCCAATAACTTTATAAAATTGAATGTTTTTAAATTATCCTTAGACATTACTGATGGTTTCAAATATTTTATTATTTAATCTTTTTCGTCATAAATATTTGTCATTGGTCATCTGAAAAGGTCGTTAAAGAGTTTGGATATAAAGTCCGAAATATTTTAGCAACAGACAAATAAAATATACGATTTCTCATCATCGAAATGAAATATATTTGGAGCAAATGATTTGGGTATACTCACACAGGTTCACACATGATACTATGACTATAAGATAAGATATTGCGCATGTTTTTGTGACGTCATTGGAGACTTACACGTTCGAAATGTCAGTTTTTGTATATATCAATAAATAGTCTTTAATAAATAGTTTGGAGATATCCTTATGTGTACGATTATTGTAATTATTAAACCTCTTAACTTATTTTCGTCTAGTAATTTCATCACAGAATGCATACAAATCTCATTTAACTTTAACAAGAATTCAAATTCTAGTCTCCAATGACGGCATGCGCGAACCCGACCGATTTTGAGCTACGGGAAGATCCTATCTTGTTATTCATAGTATCATGGGTTCACAAATATTCATCTTGTCTTCAATTGCCAGTTTCCTGACGAATTCCGGATTCTTGAACTTCTCCAACTCTTTAAATTCCACAGAAATAAAAATTTTAGGCCGATTTCATTGGAAAATACTTTGAACCGAGTAGAAAATGTAATATCAAAGGACATTTAATGTTGACTACATTAATGAATTGATATTGCATGGAAGAACAGTAGAATGAACATAAATGTCTAACGGCGGAAACTAGGACTGTTATAATTCGTCTTCTTTGTAATGCGCTGTTGCCAAACTTTATGTTATTTCCAAAGAACTTTTAAACCATCCAAGTTATTACATTTTTTTGTTTTATCACATTAGTGAATAAGATTTTGTCGGCACACTCTTCAAAGACCATTTTCTAAATAACATGAATTATTTCAAAAATGAATATAGACAATTATTTACAACTAAGACTGATTTTTGTGTGCAAGATTATAAATTTCTAGTAAAATCAACACAAACAGAAAATATTCTGGACAAACAATTACTTTTCGCACATCCGTATCACCAGATTACTTCATTTTTATACAAACAAAAAGTTATCAATGGATATTGACTTCAATTGGTTTATACCTGAATACCTAACAGTCCTTCGATCTAAATGATCTTTTCCTGGGTGTGTTGAAGACTAGAGCAGTAATGTAGCATCAATACTGATAGCCCGTGAACTTTAGCATCGGCCTTTCCCATCAGAAAAGCCAGCTTGGCCTTCTCGACTTCGGAATCTTCCGATCCGATTTGTTTCGACAGCTCCATGTGTTCGACGGTGACTGAATCCAGGCTTTTCTTCAGTTCGCCCATCTAAAATATTATTGCATTTAAAAAAAAAACTACTAAAAGTAGAATTCCACAACTAAACAAGAAACAAAAAATTAAAACACAATGAACAAACCAAATAAGGAAATAATAAAGAAAAATAACATGCAAAAAGAAAATATAAACATATTGTTTGTTTCATCGTCTGTTTTTATTACTATCTACACACTAGTTTCGAAAACTTTTGTCAAAATACTACATAAGTCCCTCAAACATATTTACGATCATAGTTTTTTTCTTTGAGTGTTAAATTGTGACGTTTCTTTTTCATATACTACTGTCAGTCATATTTATTATTTGTCACCAAATTGAATTAAACTAAATTACTCACAATTCACAAAAAGTAAACGTAAAAGCTCCTTCACTAGTAATAACACTCCAAACCATTATGTTCTTTGCTTTATGAAACCGGGTCAGTGCGCTTATGAAACCGACGTACAGATAACAGACCAAAAAATTGGTACCCGAACAATGGCGTTGTTACCAGTCACATCGCCGTAATTTGCGATGATGCTGTTGATCGCAGGTTTAATTCCCGCTACAGTAATTTGCTTTTGACCATTGATTAATTTATTAATTGTCAGAGAGTAGGTCTTTCTTATTTATTAAGGCCGATCCTCGCGATTCTGGGCATAGGTAAATTCCAATGTAAAAATTTATATCAAATAACGCAAAAACTATGGCAGATATTGAGATGATTCTTTTTTATATGGAAGGTCTAAAAAAGTTCTAGTGCACTATTTGGTTGTAAATTAATAAATTGTTTAAACAATATTTTTTTTTCAAATATTTTTGGTTAAAATAAACGAAAATTTTTTTTTTTTTTTGAAATAGGGCACTACAGAATTTGACCCACTTTCCAAATCTGTTTTTATTTTTAACATAAAGTGTAACACAAAGCAGCTATTTGATATAAACTTTTAAAAAATTTCAAATTTTTGCTAAACGCAATTTTCTCTCCGTCGGCACAGGGTGTCCTTGTCGGTAGCTTCTGGATTCTGCGCTTGCTGGATAGCCCAAATTTGACGAAGTAAGTCTAAAATGTTAATCACAAAAAACTTTTATCATCCATTAACTTCGAGTTTTTTATCGAAGTTTATTAATTTTCTTCATTTAAAAAAACTTTTCTTGGCTTATTTCAGATGCCCCTGATGATGCTGTAGAAAGCGAAAGTACTTGAGCAAGATTTGATTATTACATTTGTGCTCGATATTTGCCTTAATTTTTCAACGTACATCCTAAAATGTCAAAATGTCCATCATATTATCCTTCATGATCCATATTTCACATCCATATAAATGGTATATTTGGTATATTTCATCATCATCATCATCATCATCAATGGCGCTACAACTCTTCGTAAGTCTTTGCCGCGGTTACTATTGCCTTCCATGTTTGTCGGTCCTGTGCCAGTAATTCCTATTGTCGCACTCCCATTTTCTCTAGATCTAGGAGTATATTTACATATAACAAATTAAATCCTTAGTTGTAAATTTTTTAAATAAGTACTCAGTACACATCTAAGTTTCATAAATGCTCCTCATAAATCTCATAAATCTAAACTTTTGTACTCCGTTCTTTGTTGACAATTAGTTGCATAGGGCCGACGTTTACTAACCACAAGCACACAAGTAAATTATCTTATTTCTTTCATTTGACAATAATAATTGTCTGTTAGATTAGCATTGTAAGAAGTAAATTAGTCTCTTACTGAATGATAATAAACAACACATCAAACTTATTCTGAAACTATTTCTTGTGTCATGGTAGATTTTATTAGATTTTGGTGTAATAAATCACAACCTATCAAATTCAATATCAAAAATCAAAATTGGAAATGATAGCGTGACTAAATTATTCCTTCCTTCAAGAAATTTTAAAAAGAACTGATTTCTATTACTATCCAGTGCAAGGACAGTTATTTTGTTATTAATATCGAATAGAGAATACTGTTAGTTTGCGGTATGGACCCCAAAAAATATTTTATTCGAAAAGATTGATAAATATGTATATGGAACTGTGGGAAAATATGCTACAAAAATTTCAAGATTTTTATTATAATTTTTATTTGAAACACCTTCCGAAGAAACATTAGACATAATTCTATATTTATATAGTTTCATTTTATCAATTTTAATGATCGTGATACTAATTAGATAAGATTTTTATTATAATTTTTATTTGAAACACCTTTTGAAGAAACATTAGACATAATTCTATATTTATATCGTTTCATTTTATCAATTTTAATGATCGTGATACTAATCAAATTTTTATGATATATAATAATAATCTTTTTTTTTATAATTTTTATTTTCCGTAAACTTTAATCTACGTTAAACTTCAGACAGCCAATTTTTCCGTAAAAAAAATAACAAATAAATTATGTATGTACATTTTTTACATTGTAAATTTATAAATAGATTATATTACTTTGATCTGTTATTATATTTACTCAAAATACCACTAAAGAGATTTATGGTCTTATTGTAAGCCAAAACCTGTCACTGCAGGGGTTGTCTCGGTGTATAATCGGCTCGAGTAAAAGGTAAACGCATTTTTGACCTGGGCTTGAAAGAGATCTAAACGAAGTTTAGAATATTACTTCATGAACAGATTTTGTTTTCGTAAAGAAAGAAATTTTTGAAATAGAGATAGCAAACTGAAATTTACCGTTAGGATTTTCGAGGATGAGCCTTAAACCTTCAAGAAAACAGAAGTACTAGTACTTTCTGTTCCCAACACGGAAACCTTCTAACAACTCGAAGCGACAACTTACCATCAGATTGATCTTCTCCACTCTCTCCTCGTGCGACAGATGCGAGTACATCTGTCGCCCGGTCTCCTTGGCCGCGTCCATCAGCGACTCGTCATTGGGGCACTGCATAACTTGATCCAGCAGTCTGTTGATGCAGTCCGACGCTTCGGCGGGGTTCTTCTGGACTTCTTCTAGGACCTCGGGACACATTAGGAACGGATTGATCGCCACCAGAGATTGCTTCCTGCTCGGCGTTCGCTGCGGGGACGGCGGCAGGCTTCTCGACGTGCAACCTATGAAGGGAGAGCCTAAAAAATCGGTGTCGTGTTGTAGTGTTAGCAGGTTAGTAGTGGAGATTCAAAAATAAGTAAAATGTTCTTCATGCTGAAGGACCTGGCAAGTCTTTTTGGCCAGGTATAGACTGAGTCTATAGACTATTTTTATTATTTTGTTTTTAATTAAACAGATGCCCTAATTTTAAAGAACCGAATGTCAAAATAAGTTAAAAGAAAGAATATTAAAATTTAGAACAGACTCTAGAAGTGTGAAACGACATAAAAAACATCGGAGGGACCATAAAAGAAAATGAAGCTCACGAAATGGTCATGAGGCGGAATGTGTAAAAATGAAAGAGAAAATAAGTTAGTACATGAAGTACAGTTCCAATAGATTTTGTATTTGAATATTAGGAAGAATGTATGGGATGATGATAAGTTTCATTTGATAGTATAACTGCATCATCATCATCATGCGTGGGTCCTAGCTTCCTCAAGAATTTCTCTCCAGTCGTTCCTATCCATCGCCTTTCTCCGCCAAGCATGTATTCCCAAATTTCTCATGTCTTCATCGATGTTATCAAGGAACCTTGTTTTGGGTCTTCCTCTTCTTCTCTGACCAATGTATCTCTTTTCTTTCTTCTTCTTTCTTCTTCAGCCTGTGTTCGTCCACTGCTGGACATAAGCCTCTTCCATTTGCTTTCATCGATTTCTACTTTTGGCAATTCTCATCGACTGCTTGCCCGCGACTTGTTTGATATCGTCTGTCCACCTCTTCTGCGGTCTGCCTACTCCTCGCCTGTTCTCTCTTGGTCTCCAGTTTGTTAATCTTTGTGTCCATTTTTCGGGATTATCTCGGGCAACGTGTCCGACCCATTGCCGCTTGAGCTTTGCAATACGTTCTGAGACATCAGTAATTTTTGTTCTTTCACGAATGACGTTATTTCGAATCCTGTCTCTCAAACTAATCCCTAGCATGGCCCTCTCCATTGCTCTTTGGGTTGTACTGAGCTGCTCTAAGGTTTTCTTTGTGAAGGCCATGGTCTCCAGTCCATATGTAGTTACAGGCAAGATACATTTGTCATAAACTCTACGTTTCAGACACATTGGTATATCTTTATTCTTCAAAATAAAGCTTAATTTGCTGAAAGCTCGCCAAGACAGTATGCGTCTTTTTATTTTGGCTATTTGATTTTCTTTGCCGATTTTAATGGTATGTCCAAGATATATATATATATATATATATATATATATATATATATATATATATATATATATATATATAGTGGTCTATATTTTCAAGACTGACGTTGTCAATAACAAGATTAGTTTGTAAATTACTCATTATTTTTGTTTTCTAAAGGTTCATTTTGAGACCTATTTTATTTGACTGCTGGTTTAATTCCTTCAACATTTGCTCCAGTTCCTTGATATCTGTACTAAATAATACTAGGTCATCCGCAAACCTCAAATAACTCAAACGTACACCATCAATGTTTAGACCTTTTTCCTCCCAGTCAAGCTGTTTGAATACATTTTCCAATGCTAAGGAAAAAAGCTTTGGTGAAATAGTATCACCTTGTCTAATACCTTTATCAAGGCGCATTTTTTCAGTTTTTTTGTCTTCATTGATTTTGATGTGGAATGTGACCTGTTCATAAATGTTTTTAATGGGTGTAGTGTACCGTGAGTTTATTCGAGCATCCTTCAGGGCTGACAAAAAGGACCAAGTCTCAATACTATCGAAAGCCTTGTGAATATGAAAATTATATTCTGTGGTTTTTTCTACTAGTGTTCTGATGGTTTGTAAGTGATCATTAGCGCCAAACCCTTTTCTAAATCCCGCCTGTTCAACCGGTTGATATAAATCAAGTTTTTGTGTTATGCGGTTGGTTATTATTCTTGTTAACAATTTGTATAAGTGTGACAACAAACTTATAGGTCTGTAGTTTTCAATATTAGTAGTGTCTCCTTTCTTGTGTAAAAGTATTATTTCGGCGTTTTCCCATAGGCTGGGTATTCTTTTTTCTGTTAGACACTTATTCAGTAAGACTTCCACAACTTCTACAACGATGTTGCCGCCCATTTTTAACATTTCAGACGTTATACGATCCTCGCCAGGAACTTTTTTGTTTTTCATTTGCTGTAAGGCATGTCTAATTTCCGAAGAGGTTATTTTAGGGAGGGTTTCCGAGCCGACGTTTAGAATTGTTCTGTGGTCTGTTTCGGGGTTCTGTATAGTAGATGTATAAAGATTCTTATAGAACGTTTGTATTTCCTTGATTATTTGAGTTTTTTCGGTCACCGTATTCCCCTGTTGATTTTTGATTTTAGTTATCTTTGATTTTCCTTTAGTTAAATTTGATTTCAATACTCTCATGTTTCTATTGTTTTCGATGGTTTGCAATATTTGTTTTGTTTTATAAGCTCCAAGTCTGACCTTATGCTCTTTTTAACTTTATTGTTGATAGCTTTATACTCTGGTAATTCTTTCGATGTTCTTCTTCTTTCTTCCATTAAATTAAGTGTTTTTGTTTCAGTTTCGTTTTTCTGGGATTTTTATTTTTTTATCACAGATCTTTTTTGCAGTTGATGTTATGTCATTCGTTAATTTTTGTGTTATTTCATTTATATCTTTCGTGTTGAATACTGGTAGAGGTCCTAGTTTCTTTTTTAGTTCACTTTGATATTCCTCTTGATTCATTTCGAGTGCTTCTATGTTTGGCAATTTATCCTGTGTTAATAATTTTCTTCTATCTAATTTCGTATTTATTTCTATTCGCGTCCTAAATAATCGATGATCACTACCAGTGTTGAAAGAATTTAGTACAGTAAGATCTTTAGCAATGTTTTTGAAGTTAGAGAGTATAAAGTCAATTTCATTTTTTACTTTGCCATCTGGGCTTAACCACGTCCATTTTCTCTGCATCTTTTTCTTGTAGAAGGTATTTAAGCAGAATAGTTTTTCTTTGCTGAGGAAATTTACGAGCATATCTCCCCTGTGATTTCTACTTCCCAGTCCAAAATTTCCAATATATTCGTTGTCGTTGTTATTTTCGTTCTTTCCTATTTTAGCGTTGAAATCTCCCGTAATTATTACGTAATATGTTTTCTTTAGGTTTCTGGCTCTTGTAATGTCTTCATAAAGTTGTTCTACCTCTTCATCATCTGCAGAAGAAGTTGGTGCATAACAGTGGATTATTTGAATGCTGTATGTGATCTCTGTTCTATCATCCATAAATTGTCGGTTTACCGCCTCTAAAACCAGCCTGGTATTTTCCTACTATCCGTTCTGCATATAGTGCCATACGGTGATATAGTACTGTAGAAAATATTTTATAGGCTGCCTTAAAAACGTAATTCCTCTGTGGTTAGAACATTCACACATATTTCCTTTTTTGTGTATGGTGCAAAGTATTACAATATTACAATCATTGGGAAGGGATTTCTGTGTTCATATTTCCTTTATAAGCTGCTGTAATGCCATTATGGTATCATGACTACCTTCGTTATATACTTCAGCTTGGATTCCAGCCATTCCGGGTGATTTGTTTTTGGCTAGTTTTTTAACGGCATCTTTAACTTCAAGAATCGTTGGTGGTTCTTCTTCCCTCTTGTCTGTTCCCCTTACCCCATCACTTTCGTCTTCCAGGTTTTCTTCTTCCTCCTCTATATTAAGTGCCTGGTTAAAGTATAACACTTATCTATTCAATACATCTTTCCTTGTTGTTAATAGGTCGCCATTCTGACTTCTGCATTGTCTTGTAGTTGCCTTGGATTCTTTTCTGTTAATGTTAACTTTCTTGTAGAATACTCTGAATTCTTTCTCTCTGTTGAGGATTTTTATATATTTAAGTTCCTTAGTTAAGTGTTTCGTTTTTTTCTTTTGTGTATCCTCTTTTCTTTTCTTCTCTTTGTCTGGTAATTCTCTACAGTTGTTCTAGTTTGTCGGGTAAGCATCCTTCTGTAGGCTTTATTTTTTTCTTTTGTTGAACTCTTGCATCCATCACCTTCTTCTTATGGCGCCGTCTCCTATCGAAGGTTAGCGATCCAAATGGTCACCAACCAATGATTTTTAGGAATACAAGTTTCTGTTTCTATTTCATCTTTCGCTGCTGCTTCAATGTCTTTCTTTATTCTGGTCTAGTAGGGGTCTATATCTGTCTGGCCTTCTTCATTTACATTTTCTTCCTTAGCCTGTTGTGATGTTTTCTAAGTACCGTTCTGCAATTGTCGCATCTCCCAGCTTTTACACATTTCGTTTTTTTTTTCTATCCATTTTATTTTCTTTACTGGTGTTTGAAGATTACCTTGGAAGTAATCTTGATGAAACTTGGGACCGCTCACTAGAGATAAGAATACGCCTGGAAAAGGCACGTACAATGTTTTACAAAATGCAAAAAGTTCTATGCAACCGCCAGCTGGGCATCTCATTGAGAACTAGAATACTTAAGTGCTATGTTTTCTCCACCTTGCTCTATGGTGTTGAAGCCTGGACAATGACAGAAGCAACACAAAAAAGAATCCAAGCATTCGAACTCTGGTGTTACCGTAAAATGCTCAGAATATCCTACATGAGCCATACGACAAATGCGGAAGTCTTGCGGAGGATGAATAAGGAAAGAGAGCTTATGCTTATAATAAAAGAACGGAAAACACAATATTTTGGTCACATCATAAGAAATCAAAAGTATGAACTGCTCCAACAAAAAGAGGACCAGGAAGAAGACGCAACTCTTGGCTTAAAAACCTACGGCAATGGACGAACATGACCTCCATAGAACTATTAAGGGCTGCTACAAATAAGATTAAACGGGCAAATGTAATGGACAACGTCCTTAAGGATAAGGCACCGTAAGAAGAAGAAGGTGTTTGAAATTCTAGTCCCCAATGTTGAGATCACTAAGCAATGATCTGAGTATATGTTTGCGCCTCTATAACTTCTGCAGTTGATTACGTCTGTTCGTGCCTTAAATATATTAAGATGTGAACAATATGACTCGTTGTTCTTCCATCAGGAGAGGTGCAGGTTACC